GTTTCCTATCTATCCATCTGTTTCTATCTATCTATCTATCTATCTATCTATCTATCTATCTATCTATCTATCTATCTCAGCATCTTCTTATATATCTCTCTCGGTCTGTTCTTTATCTATCTATCTATCTATCTATCTATCTATCTATCTATCTATCTATCTATCTATCTATCTATCTATCTATCTCAGTCTGTTCCTATGTATCCATCTCAGTATGTTCCTATCTATCTATCTATCTATCTATCTATCTATCTATCTATCTATCTATCTATCTATCTATCACTTTTTCTATACATACATACATACACACACACATACATACATACATACATATATATATATATATATATATATATATATATATATATATATATGGTTCAGTCTGGTTCTTTCTTTATATATATATATTATATATATATATATATATATATATATATATATATATATATATATATATAGCAGTTTTTTTTATATATCTACGCCAGTGTTTTCTTATTTATATATGAATGAATATATCTCAACCTTGTTATCATCCATCTATGGTTGTTCTTTGCTATCTATCTATTTATCTCAATCTCTTTCTTTCTTTCTTTCTTTCTTTCTTTCTTTGTATCTATCTATCTATCTATCTATCTATCTATTTAATGTAATCTCTGCGTAGGTCGATATGTGGCATGTTCATTATGCAAAGAAACTCGAGAGAGAGAGAGAATAAGAGAGAAGTAATGTGTCAAAATTTACTTAGCGAATCAAAGTCATGCAGATGTGGATGATAATTGTTTAAGAAGAAGGAAAAGAAGAAGAAGATGATGATGATGATGTTGTTGATGATGATGATGGTGACGACGATTATGATAATGATGATGATTCACGTGTGGCTAGATTTTTAGCTTTCCCATCATGAGTCTCAGGTTCGAATCTAATCGTAGACGATGAATTAACGATCTGACTTCATGATATCTTACAAGGAAGATAACCTCAGCGTGTGGCACCGTTGGCAAGTGACCCCCAGGCCTTGTGAGTAAAATTCAGTAGACGAACCTGGGAAACGTTGATGTGTGTCCTCACAGGAGTCTATACAATTTAAGCAACACGATTATATGACGATTTACTAAAAGCTACAAATGACGTCCTGAAATGAATATAGCACTTAGTATAAGAAAGAAAATGTGCAAGTGAAAGTATTATATGTGATCATTGTAAGCCTTCCCACCCCTCAAAAATATCAAAATAGGGGTAATTGCAAAGAGAGATCCAAAGTTGTGCCTTTGTGTCAGACGAACGAAAGCAAATTAAATATGGATTGGTTTGCTTTTAGCAGATGTTTCAATATCTGAATGAACACACTCAGTTTTTGAATGGTAAGGAATTAACGATATTCATTCTTTCTAATAAGATTTCCTCAAATCTGTACACGGTCTGGACTATCGGGAGTCGCATTCTAAAAGCTAAGCAACGTGTTGCGAAATCGAAAAAATGATTAGAAAAGAGGGTTGGATTTCTATATGATATCCATCCTTTTATACGTCAGTGTATGCCGGAAAGTATCCCCACAGATGAGGAAGGCAAAAAAAGGTTGTTCTACAGAAGGATAGTGAGAATTCCATGAATGAGGTCAGTAAGCAACGAGGTAGTTTTAAAGAAAATGGCAACAGAAATAACACTTGCGCTCAGAATTAGGAAGAGACAGTTTAAATTCCTTTTATTCATAATGAAGAAATGGGATTTAGAAAACTTTATTTCACAAAGAATATTAAAGGCAAGAAAATGGTTAAGGCAGCGTGCCATCAAAATGACGAGCTTATTTAAAAGAATGGCTTAACGGGGGTCTTAACAAACGGTGAAAACTGCCAAGGGCCACAGGGGATAGGAAGTTTTGGAGAGCCATGATCGCCCATGCCCTGAAGAGACACGCAGAAGAAGTAAATGATCTGTTTATGTGTTTCATTTTTTTTATTTAACTGTTTGATATTTCCTCCCTAATAACTTACCGCTCTATTATTTCCATTATTCCGTCTTCATTGCCATCTTCACAACGTTTCGGCCGTTGTACGCGCCTGCCTTCTTCAGGTGATTGGAATTTCGCAACGAACCCTTTATTTCGTCTATCTGAAGAAGGCCGGAGCGTACAACGGCCGAAGCGTTGTGAATATAGGAATGGAGATGAGGATAACAATCCGAATACTGTAAATTATATAAATAATTATAATACCTCATTTCAGAGATATATAACCACCTCTAATTCAGATATTATTTTTAATTTTTATGAAACTTTACATATAGATTGATAATTTGTTGTGTGATACTAAGAAAAATATTTGCATCTGTCTAAACTTTTATGGCGCTCGCTGAGCCTTACGCTAAATCAAAACTAACGAAGGCATGTGTTGAACTACCCTGCTGTCGTCCCTTCTGTTACAACTATTTAATTATCTGCCTTTTATACGTTTCCTGGGTATTGTTCGACTCGGTTTCCATACCTTTACTTGTGTAGCGTTGCAGTTCAGGCCAAACAGCAGGTTCTTTCTCAGGTCACAGCTTCTCTGAAAGAAAAAAAAAAAACCTTAAAAATATCCCTTTGGTCCGATCGTTACCTACGAATTAAAAGCATGAGAATGTGTAGGAGTAAGCACGTTTTATTCTGTAGATGAGCGAGGCTGAAATGAAACCTGAGTGAAAGAGGGAGGTGAACAGTTTAACGGACGGTTCTTCCCTTTGCGCCATTATGCTTTTTTCCAGAATAGAGATTACTGTCATTCATTGTCTCAAAAAGTAGTTTGTCTTTATTCGGCGACCTACTTTGTCCGATACGCGTAACATGTACTTGTGAAGTCCACTTCACTTAGCTGATAATCACGGGAAAATAAATATCCGAAATCTTTTTTTATTATCCTTTTTTCCATTTAACAAGATACTGATATCGTTATAGTCTTTATTGTGTTGTTTACTCTCTCTTTTAAACATTATTTGCAATTAAAATTTCCCTTTTTAAAATTACCATTTAAGTCTGAGGATGTTAATAAAATCAAATAATAATTTTTTTTTTTTATATTTTAAAAATAATTTTTTATTACCTAAATGTTTCCCAATTTAAATAATTACGATAAATTTGTTGGCAAGTAAATAAATTTGCACACTATCACTTTTCATAAATATCTACATTTCTCTCTAATGGAACACAGTTTATATCAACATTTTTCCATTTGGTTCTCTTACTATTGGCGCAAGTTTACTTTCATAAAAGAGGAATTAATCAGATCTTTACGAAAGTAAGAGTAATTTCAGAAAAGAAATCAAATTAATGTCATACACAAAGGAATCTAGACATCGACAAAACAATTTTTTAAACTAAAGTATATAAAAACTAAAATTTTGATATACCTCTAAAATAAAATGACTTCGTGATTAACGAGAATTATTGCATCAAAAGAAAATTCTCGCTGTGAACGTTGGTATGTATGGGTCTTTGTCTTCATGTTTTACTATTGAAATGAGGTGCACTTGGCGCAGAAGCTTCTTCCATGCCGCATCTGGTCTGGCGATTTTGCTTTAGAAATTCTTGCTAAAATCCAGACAAGACTCTGCAATGTTACTGACACTGACCTGGCATCTCAACATCTTTTTCCCATCGCCGTAACGTATATTCCCAGTGCATTTTCTATATATTATTTTATGACAATTCTTCTGATGAGCTTTTCGCTTTAGTACCTCGATGCAATTAATGTAATGAACTTGAGTTCGAATTCCAGTCGAGTTCTTTATATTCATTTGCGTGTTAATACCTTTGGCAAAGATATATATATATATATATATATATATATATATATATATATATATATATATCTTCTTCACTCGGATATGGGTAAATAGAAGGACAGACTGGATTTAATATCCTGGGGTGGCAGGAGAAAGAAAAATTCTGAATTCAAAACAAGCCTTGATATGTTTGGGTTCCGTCAGCTCAACTTACTATGTCTATGTAGTGTCTCTAAGAGCCTAATGGTTTACCAGATCGTAATGAGGATGACGTGGCTAAGTTGGAAGTTAGGTCTCAAAATATTACAGTTGAAATTACTTGATGTAATAGTACTTTCTATGCTAACAGTCTCTTTTCTCTTACTTTTCGGGTGTGGAATTCTTTTCTGGTTTCTTGCTTTCCAGTCAACATTGATCTTCAAATATTTAAATACAATTTCAATTGTTATCTCCTACCTTTTTATTCCTGTTATATTATTATTCTATTTTCTTAATAATGTTTTTATTATTCTCATATTATTTCACATTCAGTAACCGATTGCATTTTTGTAGGTTTTTCCTCTTTTAAGGTGAAATGATTAAAAAAAGAACAGCATAAAGACACCAGGAAGAAATGGAATGTGTTCGCCAAAATGGAAGGATTAAGGGAAATGCTAAATTCATCATGTGATATATCCGTTTCCAGGGCTGTTTTCTCTTTTATCGTATTTGATTTTAATTTTTTTGTGATGGGCTCAAGCTGGGAAACTGTGAAAATTGGGTGATGTCTCATTGCTAAAAAATAGTTGTGCCATGTGGTATGATTATGTCTTATATCTGTATGACTTGATATCGTCCAAGTTGTGTGACTCCCGCTTAAAGATGAGAAGATAAGGCCTAGAATTTTTTGTTTGTTTACGGGCGGGACTTGGCGGATAGATAATAAATATGACTGCTTGGATGTTTTAAATCTAATGTTAGAAATAACCAAATAGCAGTTCCGACATTTTTAATGAATGTTTTAATCTAATTTTTTCATTTTCCTCTTACTGCTGAATTATCTAATTATTTTCTTCATACAAAGATACAATTAATTATTATGAGATTTTTTTTTAATCCTGTAGCAGTGGAAACTTCTGGGGTTATATTGGCCCTCGTTCGATGGCATTCCTTAGGAGGATTGGTTGGATAGCATCTCGATTAAAAGACGACTTTCGCGAAAGAGAGTGGCTCTTGCAGAGGAATTTCTTTCTCCATCATTGTGGCTGGCAGAGGATAGCAAAAAAAAAAAATAAACATTTTCTTTTGATTATAGATCCTTTGTTCAAGCAATGAAATACTTAAGTCAGTTTGAATTCCTTAACTTTAATAAAGAAAATGTCAAAAATTAAAAAAAAAATTATATTATGAATAATCTTGAGGTTATTTAATGTATTCCTGGCAATGTCCGTACATTTTATACAAATATACGCTTTTCCTAAATGAATTCAACATTGCAGGATGACGACGACAGCAAAGAATTACGGTTTGATTTTCCAGTATCAGGTGTTATCGTAATTTAAGTTATTTCAGTTCAGACTAATCTCATTCTCTTTGTTTTCATTATCACAACGTTTCGACTATTGCACCCTCCGCCATCCTCCAAGTGTCTGTTGGTCCGAGTAACCTTCAGGGAATTTTGAACGGAAATCTTTATCTAATCTGTGGTGTTAAATTGTACTTGTTCCGTTGTCCCCATATATCCAAGACTCTCGTCTCCTTCTTTTATTAGTAGAGATAGATCTCACAGTTATTAAGCCAGCAAATCGACAAAGCAAGGCATTATTCCTCTGGGCTGTTCTCTTGAGGGCCTCTTTATGTAGTCTGTTCTCATCTCGTCGTCTATATCTGCGGAAATCTCGTCTGTTCCTTTTCCTGCTCACCCGT